GCCTCCCAAAGTGCTGGGATTGCAGGTGTGAACTACCATGCCTGGCTGAGTATATATCATTTCTGTGTGCTGGTAACATTTGGAAAGGAAGAAGTAAAATTATTTCTGTTTACAGATTATATGGTTTTATATGTAGAAAACCCTAAAAATTCCACCAAAAAACCTGTAAGAACTAATAAATGATTTCAGCAAACTTACAAAATGCAACATTAACACATAAAACTCCATCGCAGTTCTATACATTAGCAATGACCAATATGGAAAGGAAATTAAGAATAAAATTTCAGGCCAGGTGTGACAGCTTACACTTGTAATCCCAACATGTTGGGAGGCTGAGGCAGGCAGATCGCTTGAGGCCAGGAGTTTGAGACCAGCCTGGCCAATGCAGTGAAACCCTGTCTCTACTGAAAAACAAAACAAAACAAAACAATTTTATTTATAATAGCATGAAAAAGAATAAAATTCTTAGAAATAAACTTAACCAAGGAGGCAAACAACTTGGACACTAAAAACTACAAAACAACAGTGCTACAAGAAACCAAAGAGTATATAAATAAATGAAAAGACATCACCCTGCATGTGGATTTAAAGACTTAATATTGTTGAAATGTCCATATTACCTAAAACTATTTACAAATTCAATACAATCCCTATTGCAGCATTATTCACAATGGCCAAGAGATCCAATCCAAATGTCCATTGGTGGAAGAAAGGATAAAATATGGTATATACATACAATGGAAGACTAAGCAGCCTACGGAAAGAAGGAAATCATGTCACATGCTAGAACATGGATCAATCTCAAGAACATTATGCTAAGTGAAAGAAGCCAATCACAAAAGGACAAATACTTTCCTTCATATGAAGTATTTACGGTAGTCAAAATCACAGAAACATAAAGCAGTGGTTGCCAAGGGATGGGGATGGGAGTAGGGGAGAAATTAGTATTTAATGTGTACAAAATTTCCGTTGTGAAAGATAAAAAATTTCTAATTTCACAATGATGTGAATATATATAACATTGCTAAATTGTACACTTTAAAATGTTTAAGATGATTTTTAGAAAAGGAAAAAGCATAGGAATAAATTTTCATGACCTAGGACTAATTAATGGTTTCATAAACATGATATTAAAACCACCCGTAACAAAAGAAAAATAGATAAATTGGACTTCATCCAAAGTAAAAACTTTTGTGCTTCAAAGAGTACCATCAAGAAAGTAAAGGACAACCCATAGAATGGGAGAATATTTCTGCAAATTATATCTTGTCAAGCATTTTTATCTGGAATATGTAAAGAATTCTTATAACTCAACAGCAAAACACAAACCAGTTAAAAATTAGTAAATGTTGAGTACACATTGCTCCAAAGAAAGATACACAAGTGGCGAATAGGTACATGAAAGAGGTTCAACATCAGCGAAATGCAAATGCAAACTACGATGAGACGCAACTTCAGAACCAGTAGAACGACTTTATCAAAAAGAGTTGATAACAAATATTGGCTGGAATGTGGAGAGATGCTGGGATCCTCACACAGCTAGTGGGTATATAAAATGGTTCATCGACACTGGAAACAGTCTGGCACCTTCTGAAATAGTTAAACATCGAGTTTCCATATGGCCCATCAATTTTCACTCTTAGGTATATAGAGTATATAGGCCCATGAGAAATGGAAACATACATCCCCAGAAAACCTTGCACACAAATGTTCTTCGAAGTATTATTCACAATAGCCAAAGAGTGAAAACAACCCAAATGTTCTTAACTGATAAATGGAAAAATTTTAGTATATCCATTAATGGAATATTATTCAGCAATAAAAAGGTTTGATATAATGATACATACTAAAAACATGGATGACCTTGGAAATATTATTCTAAGTGAAAGAAGACAGATGTGAAAGACACACATTGTATGTTCCATTCATAGTGCATCATGCGACACTGCATGCTGACACTGAAGTTAGAATCAAAGTGCAGCTACAAAAGGGCAGCCACCTGGATCAAGTCCATCCTGGTAGCTGTCAGAAAGCACAGCATGTTCACTAACGGGGGCCAGCCTTGCTCCCGTTGTCAGATGGAATTTCCCAGGAGGCCGTGGCTTCTTCAGGGATCTGTCGTCCAGTAGTGAAGGGAGTGGTCTCTGGAGGCAAACCTGCCTGGGGCTGCCCCAGCTGCACTGGCTCCCAGAGAGTGACCTGGCTGCGTGAGCAGGGAGGCCAAGCCCACCAACAGCCTCAGCACACCCCCAGCACCTGCTGCGAGCAAGCTGCATGGCTTCCCCAAGAGTGGATGCGACAACATCATGAGTAATTACAGATTCCCTTTCACTGCATCCCAGGCTCTCCTGGTTCATGTGTGATACGCTGCACTTGGGGTGGAGGTGTGGTGACAGTCGCAAAGGGCCGAGCCTTTCTTTCCCATGGCCCTGATGCACGGTTTCCAGATACCAGTCATGAAGGAAGTTCTTGAGATTATGGACCTTGTCCTAGTCACATAGGGCTGCCAGGACAAAGTGCCATAGACTTGGGGGTAGTGGCATGTATTAAAAAAAGAAATGTATGTGTCACAGTCTGGAGGCTGGAAGTCCGGGGATAGCATCCCAGTGTGGTGAGGTTCTGGTGAGGGCTCTCTTCCTGGCTTGCAGATGGCCGCCTTCTCGCTGTGTCCTCGTGTCAGGGAGAGAGCGAGCTCTGGGGTCTCTGCTTCTTACCAGGGCCCTAATCCCATCACTAGGGCCCCACCCTCATGGTCTCTTCTAACCCTGAATAATTCCCAAAGGCCCATCTCCAAATACCATCAAGTTGCGTGTTAGGGCTTCAACATAGGAATGGGGCGGGGGGAAGGGGAACGTGTGTTCAGTCTATCAGATCCCCCTAGTCAGCCCCACTCTGCCCATTTAGGGGCAGATTGTAGGGCTCAGGCGGGACACAGTGGTGGAGGAAGCACAGGTTCTGCCTCCTGGGAATAGCTCAGCCAAAACAAGGACAGGACAGCGGGGTAGACAACAACCAGTGTGGTAACCAGCAGGAACCCCAAGGTGTCACTTTCACCCTTAGGTGAGGAAGTTGGCTGAGCACCCACACACGGCAGAGTATAGACCATGTTCCCTTCAAACGCGGCTCACTTAACATTCCTAAACTCTGCAAAGGAGCAGTGCTACCTTATCTCCTGAGGATGGCCCTGAATGTAGAGGAGTCACGGGAGCTGCCCACTTCACCCACCAGTGACTCTTCACTCCCCACATTTTCCCCGAGGGCCTGATGTGCGCTGAGCTGGGGAAGCCCTGCCAAGATAAACTCTCCTTCCCAAAGGCCACAGAGGGCGGAACGCCTGCAACACTGCCCACGTCGAGCAGAAGGGACGGGGCAGAGGGGCACCTGTCTGGCTGACTGCTGTGCTCTGTGGGCAGATGGGGCCAGAGAGGACCCAAACATGGCTCCCTTTGTCACTTGGCCAAAGTGCCAGGCCACTGTGTACCGGGCAGCTTTGCCCCACAAGCCTCTGCTGCTGGGCCAGACCCCAGCGCCATGACCACAGCTCTGCATGCAGGCAGTGCTGGGACCTGTGCCCTGGCAGTCACAGGGGTCCTGAGCCAACAAGGGCCCCTCCTCCCTTGTTGTCTGAGGGGGAGGAATCAGAACTCAGACTGTGGAGAAGAAGGTGTTGGCCAGGAGGGAACCAGGGCGGGTGCCAGGTCCTGTCCATGCTGGGATC